ATATATGAGTGCTTTTAAAACTTTTCAGCTTGGTGTAGAAAGGCTTCCAATAAAATTTTGATGTTTGGTCCTTTGGTCAGATTTTGGACTGTTGAGCCAATAGATTTTTTTAATTCCTTCTTGGTCAGGCCAAGAACTTTTCAGCACTTCCATGTACGTGTATATGTATGTTTTGTGATTATGCTAACACCTTAAGTGTAAATGGTATATATGAGTCTAAGCCAATATAAGCTTAAACACAAAATAAGCTTAATTCATCTTTCAGAATTCTTTTACACTTTGAATAAGATTCTAAATCCTCTCAGACTCAACTTTACTTTCATTTTCACTTTCTCCAAGACCATTGTCTGACAGCTATAAGTCAAATTTCCTTTTAAGTGATAATGACTGAAAAGATGATAATAACAATAATGCTTAACAGGGAAAGTTGTAATAATTAGGCAAATAAACATCTTGTTAAAAAGAGTCTAAGATCATGAAATTAGTACTAATAATGACTACAATGAAAAGAACGTTACAAATTATAGACATTATGATTAAGTACTGAATTCACTAAGTATTTATATTATTTTACATTAATATATTCAGACTAGAGTCTTCATTTTGGTTTTATAATTGCTATGTTTTGGACATTGTATTCTCTAGCTGTCTTCAGATGTCTTTCATGTGAGAAACGACAAAGTTTTAGAAAAAATGAACACAAAAAAATGTCAGGAAGAGACTAGGAGATATAATGAGGAAAGAGAGCTTAGAAAATCTGATACTCACAGGACAGATTGAAGGCAGATAAAGGGAAACAATGCATAATCTACTTAGTGAGCTTAAGTAAATGGCTTGGAAAAACAAGATTTAGAAGAGATAACAAAAAAAACAAAATTTATTAACAGCTACAAAGGACAGGAAATTGTGGAGAGCCATGATCATCAACATATTGAAGGGATATGGCACAAAGAAGAAGAACGAGTTCGTGTAAATGGATGGCAGAACAGGGTTAAGGAGAAATAACAAAAAGACAAAATTTATTAAGAGCTAAAAAGGACAGGAAATTGTGGAGAGCCATGATCATCAACATATTGAAGGAATATGGCACAAAGAAGAAGAACGAGTTTGTGTAAATGGATGGCAGAACAGGGTTAAGGAGAAATAACAAAAAGACAAAATTTATTAAGAGCTAAAAAGGACAGGAAATTGTGGAGAGCCATGATCATCAACATATTAAAGGGATATGGCACAAAGAAGAAGAACGAGTTTGTGTAAATGGCTTGCAAAACAAGATTTAGAAGAGATAACAAAAAGACAAAATTTATTAAGAGCTACAAAGGACAGGAAATTGTGGCGAGGTATGATTGCCTCCATCCTAAAGGGACATGGCACATAGAGGAAGAAGAATCTTCTGGTAATTTCGAACCAAATTATTTATACAGTCTTTGGGTAATTTTGAACAAAATCTTTTTAACAGTTTTTTGCTAATTTTGACTCAAGCTGTTTCTACAAACTTTTGATCATTTTGATCAAAACTCTCGATCCAGTCTTGTAATTTTTATAAAAACTTCTGATGATTTGAAACTAAAACACTTTATACAGTCTTCTGATGATTTTGAACTAATCACTTTATTCAGTGTTCTGGTAATTTGGGACAAAACACTATACAGTTTTGTAATGATTTTGAATGAAACAATTTATACAGTCTTCTGGTAATTTGGGATCAAGCAATTTATACAGTCTTCTGATGATTTATGACAAAACACTATATAAAGTCTGCTGATGATTTTGAACCAAACACTATACAGTCTTCTGGTAATTTGGGACCAAACACTTTATACACTCTTCTGATGATTTTGAATGAAACACTTTATAATGTCTTCTGGTAATTTAGGACAAAACACTCTATATATTCTTCTGGTAATTTGGGCCCTATACCGTTCTTTTAGATAGATTCTTCTCATTCCACTAACTTTGCTAGGGGATATCTTGTATCAGCTGATTCTTTTTACTTATTATTTCTCTCGTGGTATTGTTTGTACTTTCCACTGAACCAGATTATATGACCAAGGTCTGAAGTCATGAACCTCAGATAGCAAGAGTCCACTTGATGTGCCTAATTTATGGTATGCTCGGTACATGCTATAAGTGCCACTTGAAAAATGTGGCACCAATGAGCAGCCTTTATTCACGTATCAAAGCCACATTTATATGGAAAATTTTCTTCAGAATTATCTAACTTAAATCATTGATATAAATTATTTGGAAAAAATATATAAATCAAGTTAGATTCTGTGACCTTACTATGTCAAAAGTAGGGTTGGATTACAAGCCTACTCTGACAAAATCTTGAATATTGCTTCTTGGGATTTCTTGGCTATTTTGCAAATAAACTGGACAATCTTGAAGAAAGTTAATTAAAAAATTTAGTAGCATTAGGCTTTCAAATGTAGCCTAGTTTGTCAAGTCTTTTTGCAGTTCAGGAATTAATAATACACAAGTGAATATCAAATGGGGGATCACTTTTGTTTTACAACGGAGTAATAAAAAGTTCCCACATTTTTTTACCATAGTAGATTCTGTATATTTTTCTACTTCAGGAAACATACTTGTAGGCATGGTTGCTAGATTATACTACTTTTGAAAGTTCAATGCTATTAAATTTTAAATGGGGGATCACTTTTGTTTTACAACTAACTAATAAACAGATCCCCCATTTTTCCTCATAGTAGTTTTCACATAATCTCTATTCTACAAAACCATATTTTACACATGGTTACCAGATTGAGATACTTTTGAAAGCTTGATGCCACTAAATGTTAAGTGAGGGATCACTTTTGTTTTACAACCAAGTAATGAACAAACCCCCGTCTTTTCACCATAGTATATTCTGTATATTTCTTACACAAGAAAACATACTTGGAAGCATGGTTGCTAGATTGGACAATTTTTGAAGTTTCAGTGCTACTTAATTTTCAGTTTTGATTCTTGTAACTTTTGTACTCCTTTGTTCTGTTGGCAGATGTCTGGATTTTCACTTACAAGTTTTGCTCGTCTGTATAGATCAGGGGTTTGCAACCAAGGTGGGGTACTCAGGGGGATTTCAGCGTTTCAGGTTGGGGAGGAAAAAATCTTTTACTTTTTCACAAGTTTCTCATTGACTGTAATAATTATCAGAATAAATAATAATACTCTGATCTTTTAATGAACTTTTTGTTCATTGAAGTAGGCTTCAGTTTATTTATTTGATAATTAGTTATGAATTAAAACAAATTTCTATACATGTATTCAAATTTAACAATCCATCAACATTTTCTATTGCTAATAAGTTTGTAAAACTCCTCTATAAAAATAATCAACGTATATGTAATGAGATGGTAAAGAATGATGATTTAAATTAATATCTGCATATTATTTGGAATTCAACTTTTGAGTTGGACTATCTTGGAAATGTAAGAATAACATTTTTACTTATGATGAAAATGGTGCATTTGTTAAAAAAGATTGAGAACTTCTGATAGATTGATGTATAATAATAATAATAATAATAATAATAATAGAAATTATTAACATTATTCTCTATAATAATATTATTCTTGTTTCAAGCTTTGTCTATTGTATGTATGTATGTATGTATGTATGTATCTATCTATCTATCTATCTATCTATCTATCTATCTATCTATCTATCTGTCTAATTCTGTTTATCACTTTCTCCTTCTATCAAGCTATCTGGATCCATTCTATAGATAGATAGATAGATAGATAGATAGATAGATAGATAGATATAAACAGACTGGGATAGATAGATAGATATGAACAGAGCAGGATAGATAGATAGATAGATAGATAGATAGATAGATAGATAGATAGATAGATAGATAGATAGATAGATATGAACAGACTGGGATAGATAGATATGAACAGAGCAGAATAGATAGATAGATAGATAGATAGATAGATAGATAGATAGATAGATATGAACAGAGCAGGATAGATAGATAGATAGATATGAACAGAGCAGGATAGATAGATAGATAGATAGATAGATAGAAACAGACTGGGATAGATAGATATGAACAGAGCAAGATAGATAGATAGATAGATAGATAGATAGATATGAACAGACTGGGATAGATTTTTCTTAAAGAAATATGCACCACTTTGCAGGATTCAAAACCTGTGTCCCCCTTTATTAATTAAGAATATAAATTATATGTCAAATTAATAAATAAAAATCCATTATTTCTATAGAAATATATATAGATATATGTCTGTCTATTTATGCATGTGTATGTATTCATTTATATTTATATATATATATATATATATATATATATATATATATATATATATATATATGTATGTATGTATGTACATGTTTATATACATATATATATGTATTATGAAATGGACAAAAGTCTGACAATTATTTTAAGACATTTTTATAAAAAGAATGTATAAACATAAAAATGTCTTAAAATATATAGGTATGTATGCATACATACATATATATGTATGTATGTTTGTAATGCATGTATTATATATATATATATATATATATATATATATATATATATATATATATATATATATATGTATGTATTTGTATATGTCTATGTCTTTATGTAAGAATCATTGACAAAGTTCTATAATAATATTAAGTGTGACTGCATTTGGGATTATCTAGATAGTATATGAAATGTTTGTTCATTCTGCAATTATCCTGATGTCTGCATACCCGGAGCTTCAGAAATAAGTTAAGGGTGAATCACCAGAAAAAAATGGTAAGAAGCTTTGAAACTCATGGGAGGTAAAAAGAAGAGGAGGCAAAGGTTTACATTGTGAAAAGAGAAAGAGAAATTGAAAGAAAATAAGGAATCAAGACTGCAGAAATCACAAAAGAAACAAATCGCTGCTGTTGTTGTTATTGTCAGTTGGTGCTGATGAAGTCAGCAATCATCAGTCGAAACATCTCTAATTGGTCAGAGCTCAGGAGATGACGTGAACTGATTATTAATGAACAAAGGAGAAAAGTTTTGCTTTCATACATCTTATCTCTCTTACTTTCTATTTATCTTTATTTCTCTATCTCTCTTGCTGACACTTTTTCTTTTCCTTGCCGTCTTTCTTTTGTTTTCCCCCTTTCCTTCTCTAGCTTTACTTCTTTAATTCTCTTTCTTTCTCTTATTTCTTTTACTCTCTCTTTTCCTTGTTTTCCCTCTTTTCCTTCTCTTTCCTTGCCTTCTCTCTTTTGTTTTCCCTCTTTTCCTTCTTCTCTCTTTTTTTTCCTTTCCTTTTACTTCTTTAATTCTCTTTCTATCTCTTATTTCTCTTCGCTCTCTCTCTCTGTTTTCTTTCTCTCTTTTTCCTAATTCTCTTTCTATCCTTCTCTCTTTGTTTTTTCCCTTCTCTTTTTTCCTTCTCTAGCTTTACTTCTTTAATTCTCTTTCTATCTCTTATTTCTCTTACTCTCTCTTTTTCCTCTCTTTTCCTTGCCTTCTCTCTTTTGTTTTCCCTCTTTCCTTCTCTCCTTCTTTACTTCTTTAATTCTCTTTCTATCTCTTTTATTTCTCTTACTCTCTCTGTTTTTCACTCTCTCTTTTCCTTGCCTTCTCTCTTTTGTTTTCCCCCTTTCCTTCTCTAGCTTTACTTCTTTAATTCTCTTTCTTCTCTTCTCTCTCTCTGTTTTTCCTCTCTTTTCCTTGCCTTCTGTCTTTTGTTTCCCTCTTTCCTTCTCTCTTTCTTCTTTAATTCTCTTTCTATCTCCTTCTCTTCTCTCTCTGTTTTCCTCTCTTTTCCTTGCCTCTAGCTTTTTTTTCCCTCTTTCCTTCTCTAGCTTTACTTCTTTAATTCTCTTTCTATCTCTTTTATTTCTCTTACTCTCTCTGTTTTTCCTCTCCCTCTTTCCTTCTTAGCTTTACTTCTTTAATTCTCTTTTTCTCTCTTTTACTTCTTACTCTCTGTTTTCTCTCTTGCCTTCTCTCTTTGTTTTCCCTCTTTCCTTCTTAGCTTCTTTAATTCTCTTTCTATCTCTTTTACTTCTCTTACTCTCTCTGTTTTTCACTCTCTCTTTTCCTTGCCTTCTCTCTTTGTTTTCCCTCTTTCCTTCTCTAGCTTTTACTTCTTTTAATTCTCTGTTTTTCTATCTCTTTTCTTCTCTTTACTTCTCTCTTCTTTTTCACTATCTCTTTTTTTCCTTGCCTTTTTCTCTCTTTTGTTTTCCTCTTTCCTTCTCTAGCTTTAATTTCTTTAATTCTTTTTCTCTCTCTTTTTACTTCTCTCTTCTCTCTCCTCTTTTTCACTCTCTTTTTCCTTGCCTTCTCTCTTTTTGTTTTCCCTCTTTTTCCTTCTCTAGCTTTACTTCTTCTTTAATTCTCTTTCTATTCTCTTTTTGTCTTTTCTTCTCTCTCTCTCTTTTCACTCTCTCTTTTCCTTGCCTTCTCTCTTTTGTTTTCCCTCTTTCCTTCTCTAGCTTTACTTCTTTAATTCTCTTTCTATCTCTTTTATTTCTCTTACTCTCTCTGTTTTTCACTCTCTCTTTTCCTTGCCTTCTCTCTTTTGTTTTCCCTCTTTCCTTCTCTAGCTTTACTTCTTTAATTCTCTTTCTATCTCTTTTACTTCTCTCTCTCTCTGTTTTTTCTCTCTCTTTTCCTTCCCTCTTTCCCTTCTCTCTTTTGTTTTCTCTCTTTTCTTTCTCTTTTTTCTCTCTCTTTAATTTTTGTTTTTTTCTATCTCTCTAGCTTTACTTCTCTTACTCTCTCTGTTTCTTTACTCTCTCTGTTTTTCTCTTCTTTTCCTTGCCTTCTCTCTTTTGTTTTCCCTTTTCCTTCTCTAGCTTTACTTCTTTAATTCTCTTTCTATCTCTTTTTTTCTTCACTCTCTCTGTTTTTTCACTCTCTTTTCTGTTTCTCTCTTTTCTTTCCCTCTTTCCTTCTCTCTTTTTGTTTTCCTATCTCTTTTCCTTCTCTACTCTCTCTGTTTTACTTCTCTTTTTAATTCTCTTTTTCCCTCTTTCTTTTAGCTTTCTCTTTAATTCTCTTTCTCTCTTTGTTTTCTTCTCTCTGTTTTCTCTCTTTTCCTTGCCTTCTCTCTTTTGTTTCCCTTTTTCCTTCTCTAGCTTTACTTCTTTAATTCTCTTTCTATCTCTTTTATTTCTCTCACTCTCTCTGTTTTTCACTCTCTCTTTTCCTTGCCTTCTCTCTTTTGTTTTTTCCTTTTTCCTTCTCTAGCTTTACTTCTTTAATTCTCTTTCTATCTCTTTTACTTCTCTTACTCTCTCTGTTTTTTCTCTCTTTCCTTGCCTTCTTTTGTTTTCCCTCTTTCCTTCTCTAGCTTTACTTCTTTAAAATTTCTTTTCCCTCTCTTTTCTTCTTTTCTTGCTTTCTCTCTTTTTTGTTTTCCTTTTTCCTTCTCTTTACTTTTTAATTCTCTTTCTATCTTTTTCTCTGTTTTTCTCTCTCTTTTCCTTGCCTTCTCTTCCCTCTGTTTTTCCTTCTTAGCTTTTTTTAATTCCCTCTTTCTTCTCTTACTTCTCTTACTCTCTCTGTTTTTCTCTTCTCTTTCTTGCCTTCTCTCTTTTGTTTTCCCTCTTTCCTTCTCTCTGTTTTCTTTAATTCTCTTTCTATCTCTTTTCCTTCTCCTTCTCTCTCTTTTTTTTGCCTTCCTTTTTTCCTTCTCTAGCTTTACTTCTTTAATTCTCTTTCTATCTCTTTTATTTCTCTACTCTCTCTGTTTTCACTCTCTCTTTTCCTTGCCTTCTCTCTTTGTTTTCCCCTTTTCCTTCTCTAGCTTTACTTCTTTAATTCTCTTTTCTTCTCTTTACTTCTCTTATTTCTCTGTTTTTCTCTCTCTGTTTTCCTCTCTCTTTTCCTTTTCCTTTCTCTTCTTTTTCTTTTCTATCTTTTTTTCCTTCTCTAGCTTTCCCTTCTTTAATTCTCTTTCTATCTCTCTTTTTCACTTCTTTTTCTTGCCTTCTCTCTCCTTTTTCCTTCTCTCTTTTCCTTGCCTTCTCTCTTTTGTTTTTCCCTCTTTCCTTCTCTAGTTTCCCTTTTCCTTCTTCTTTAATTCTTTTTCTATCTCTTTTCCTTCTCTTACTCTCTGTTTTTTCACTCTCTCTTTTCCTTGCCTTCTCTCTTTTGTTTTCCCTCTTTCCTTCTCTAGCTTTACTTCTTTAATTCTCTTTCTATCTATTTACTTCTCTTACTCTCTCTGTTTTTCACTCTCTCTTTTCTTTGCCTTCTCTCTTTTGTTTCCCTCTTTCCTTCTCTAGCTTTACTTCTTTAATTCTCTTTCTATCTCTTTTATTTCTCTACTCTCTCTGTTTTTCACTCTCTCTTTTCCTTGCCTTCTCTCTTTGTTTTCCCTCTTTTCCTTCTCTAGCTTTACTTCTTTAATTCTCTTTCTATCTCTTTTACTTCTCTTACTCTCTCTCTCTTTTTTCCTCTCTTTTTTCCTTGCCTTCTCTCTTTTGTTTTCCCTTTTTCCTTCTTTCACTCTCTCTGTTTTTACTTCTTTAATTCTCTTTCTATCTCTCTTTTTCTCTTTCTCTCTCTCTGTTTTTTTCACTCTCTCTTTTCCTTGCCTTCTCTCTTTTGTTTCCCTCTTTCCTTCTCTAGCTTTACTTCTTTAATTTCTTTCTATCTCTTTACTTCTCTTACTCTCTCTGTTTTTTCACTTCTCTTTTCTTGCCTTCTCTTTGTTTTCCTCTCTCTTTTTCCTTGCCTTCTCTCTTTTTGTTTTCCCTTTTCCTTCTCTAGCTTTTCTTCTTTAATTCTCTTTCTATCTCTTTTACTTCTCTTACTCTCTCTGTTTTTTTCCTCTCTCTTTTCCTTGCCTTCTCTCTTTTGTTTCCCTCTTTCCTTCTCTAGCTTTACTTCTTTAATTCTCTTTTTATCTCTTTTACTTCTCTTACTCTCTCTGTTTTGTTTTCTCTCTTTCCTTCTTGCCTTCTTCTCTCTTTGTTTTCCCTCTTTCCTTCTCTAGCTTTACTTCTTTAATTCTCTTTCTATCTCTTTTAATTCTCTTTCTCTTTGTTTTCTCTCTCTCTTTTTCCTCTCTTCCTTGCCTTCTCTCTTTTGTTTTTCCCTCTTTCCTTCTCTAGCTTTTCTTCTTAATTCTCTTTCTATCTCTTTTATTTCTCTCTCTCTCTGTTTTCACTCTCTCTTTTTTGCCTTCTCTCTTTTGTTTTTCCCTTTTTATCTCTTTTACTTCTTTAATTCTCTTTTATCTCTTTTACTTTCTCTCTCTCTTTTTCCTCTCTCTTTTCCTTGCCTTCTCTCTTTTGTTTTCCCTCTTTCCTTCTCTAGCTTTACTTCTTTAATTCTCTTTCTATCTATTTACTTCTCTTACTCTCTCTGTTTTTCACTCTCTCTTTTCTTTGCCTTCTCTCTTTTGTTTTCCCTTTTTCCTTCTCTAGTTTTACTTCTTTAATTCTCTTTCTATCTCTTTTATTTCTTTCACTCTCTCTGTTTTTCACTCTCTCTTTTCCTTGCCTTCTCTCTTTTGTTTTCCCTCTTTCCTTCTCTAGCTTTAATTCTCTTTCTATCTCTTTTACTTCTCCCTTGCCTTCTCTGTTTTTCTCTCTCTCTAATTTCCTTGCCTTCTCTCTTTTGTTTTTTTCCTCCTTTCCTTCTCTTTTTTCCCTCTTTCCTTTTACTTCTTTAATTCTCTTTACTTCTCTTATCTCTTTTTTTGCCTTCTCTCTTTTGTTTCCTTTTTCCTTCTCTCTCTGTTTTCCTCTCTCTTTTCCTTGCCTTTTTCTCTCTTTTTGTTTCCCTCTTTCCTTCTCTAGTTTTACTTCTTTTAATTCTCTTTCTATCTTTTTTCTCTCTCTTACTCTCTCTTTTTTCATTCTCTCTTTTTTCCTTGCCTTCTCTCTTTTTTTTCCCTCTTTCCTTCTCTAGCTTTAATTCTCTTTCTATCTCTTTTACTTCTCTTACTCTCTCTGTTTTTCTCTTTTCCTTCTCTCTTTTTTTTTTTTCTTCTTGCTTCTTCTCTTTTACTTTTCCTCTCTCTTT